ATGCGAAAATAAAGGATTTTCATTTTTATTAACCAATTTACCTTATAATCTGAAAATTAATTCATCATACCCAATAATTAGTAACAGTAAAGCTGCATAGGGTCTTCTCGTCTAACTAGAGGTAAACTGTATCTGCACAGTTATTCCAATTTCACTGAGTCAATCATAGAGACAGCTGTTGTATCGTTACATCATTCATGCAAGACCGCATTTAACGGCCAAGGCATTTCGCTACCTTAGGACCCTCACGTTAAGGCCGCCATTAACCGGGGGTTCCTTCAACACCAAATTTTTTAATAATTTAGTTAAATCCGTTAACCAGCCGGGATCGGGCAGACATCACACTCAATACATCGATTTTTAATCTTTTTGCGGAGTGCTTTGTTTTAATTAAACAGTCGTACAACATTATTTTATGCTTCTTCCTTTTTACCCGATATTCATCAGGACTAATGAGCCCTCCTTATCCCGAAGTTACGGTAGTTAATTTGCCGAGTTCCTTTATGATTGTTAGCTCATTTACGCCTTCGTATTCTCTACTAGCTTACTTGTTTCAGATTCTAGGTACGGTATAATATTTATATCTTTAAACTCATCTGTTTTAGTTTGTTGTATTTACTAAATAAAAATATCATTATTACTATTTTTTCCAGAACACTTTTCACTTATTCCCCCTAGCACCTCCTCGACTCCCCTCCCTCCTCCTCAATTAATTGAGGAGGTAGGAGGGGAGAAAAAGGAGGGGGACAAAAATGTTGTCATTTAGTAATTTAGATTTTCTCATCGTTTAAACCTTTAGGTCTATTACTTAGAGGCCGTTACTTTCAAGCTCCTTGCTAATCCATAAGCTTTAGGCGGAGGATGTCAATTCCCAGCTCGCCTAATAGTTAAATAATCTTAACTAAGAGGGGGAATCGGGCGGGAACCTTCCTTCTTATTCGTTACTCATGTCACCATTCTCACTTGAATTGATTATCATATATTTCTTCGCTGAAGAAATATCTTAATTTAATTCAACGTTCTGCTACCCCACAAAATTACTATACAATAAATATATATAGTAAAATATGGACAAGGTTTCGGTATATTGTTTAGATCCGTTAAATTTTCGATGCTTTTAAAACTTAACAAGCGCTCTGTTACGAGGTCTTCAAAATTTGGCTGCTTCTAAGCCCATCTCCTTGTCGACTTTAATAAAAACCTTCTTAATTTCACTTAACTAATAATTTTGGAACCTTAACTCTTGTTCTGGGCTGTTTCCCTTTTGACATACAACCTTATCATTCTATGTCCGATAATTCAAGATCCATCTTTGCCATTCCGAGTCTACATACTCACCGATAAAATCTTCACGATCCCCCGATATATACAAATCAACATGTTGTTTTAATGGCTATAACCACTAAAATTTAAACATCTTGTCTGAGATTAAATTCTGTACCTGCTAAGATGTTACTCAAATTGCCTACTGTTATAGGTTTCGCAGAAAACCAGCTATCCTAGTCAGTGTTGTCTTTCACTACCTACCATAATTCCTCGGATATCTTTACAACGATAACCCGTTCGGACTTTTATAATCCTGATTATGGTAAAATCACCAGGCTTCGGGTCTAACTTTAGACACTATTCGTTATTTTAACGATTGGTTTACCTACGCTTTCACTCGCATCTAATGTTAACTAGGTGACCCATTATGCAAAAGGTACGTTCTCACTTATTTATTTGGCTCGAACTGCTTATAAAACTACTAATTACAATCTTTCTCTCATGATACTTTTCACTGTCGCTTATGTATTATATTTAGCCTTTGAGGAAGGTTCCCCATTTAATTCAAACAGTTTTTTAACCATTTTACTTAATGTTAGTAGGCTACTCTATTTTCACTCACGCTAATCATAGAATCTCTTTTGATTTCTTTTCCTGAAGTTACTAAGATATTTCAATTCACTTCGTTTACTAAAAAACTTCTCTGAGGGTTTATCGTTAGATTCCACGATCTCCCTCCCCCCTTCTCTTTCGATTCCCTGCAATGGAGAGAGAAGAAGGTTGATAAAGGAGAAAGGGCCAATTTTACTAAATATTTCTTTGCTCTCGAACACTCCCCCCTCTCTCCGCCGTACCCCATAATAAATTATGGGGTTCAGAGGAGAGAGAGAGAAGCTATATAAACGTTATCTACATTCAAGCCAGGGCTCTTTGAATGAAAACTTGAATATAAAGATTCTTTTAGAAATATTTAGCTTAAAATTGTGGAAAAAAAGCTCTTAACGAAATCATAATGCCCTTTAATACATAGCTAGATTTCCCTAATAGTTTCTTTGTATACTTATATATTTTCATATAAATATATGTTCTATATCTATTACATTTCTATTAATTCCATATCAGACTATTGCGGTTCGAACGCAACTATTCTCCTTCCCAAAAGGAGCGCCTAACCAACCCGGCCCTAATCTGTATTTGCCTCTTTGCATTAAAAGAAGCCGCGACGACTGAGACGTCGCGGTTTTGATCTCCGCCACTAATCCCCCATTTCCTGGTCGGGGGCGTAGCCATACTTCGTAATGAATGAAAGGGTCAGAAGTATAGAAGCAGAAAAAGTAAAGTAATTCAGAAAATATGGGATTCGAACCCATGATGGAGAAAACCCCATACCAGAACTCAAGGCCGGCACTTTAAACCACTCAGTCAATTCTCTTTTTTAATTCTTCCAAGAATCGAACTTGGATTTCATTCTTATCAAAAATGCACTCTACCGTTAAGTTAAAGAATTTCTATTACATTCCCTCCTCTTTAATTTCTCTCATCGAACGGACCCCCGTCCACTTGTCTTTACCCCCCCCCCCCCCCCCGGGGGGGGGGGGGGGGGGGGGGGGGGGGGGGGGGGGGGGGGGGGGGGGGGGGGGGGGGGGGGGGGGGGTGGGGGGGGGGCGGCGGGGGGGGGG